AACTAGCTGACTCATCAGACTAACTTCAATCTTTACAACATTAAGATAGCTGCATGTTCTAATTGTTAGCAAAGATAAAGATCATGCACTAAATTTTGTGTAATTTGCTGTTTGGAATTGATTGGAATTGGAATTGAGTCATCTGCATTGATTTCATTATGAAGCGAGTTTCCTTTTAGGTAGGTTTACATTAAAAAGTATTATTTTATTAAATTTATGCTCACAGTTATTTACACTGAAAGTCAGTTTATCATTTGGTGGGTAGGGGTTGGTTTGCCAAAGCATATTGGTTCCCTGCCCTTACAAAAAATGAGGTCCTCCACTTCCTCTTGGCATAGTAGCTTTAGCAACAGTAATACAGAAGTCAAAAGAAGCATCTTAAAAAGACATGAACACAGATTTCATCATTCCAAGGTCAGCATGAGCTTCTGTCCTCTCTGGCAGATGGAGCATTTACATATTTTCCCACAGCTTCTTCTCCTTGATACCCACACTGATGGCTCAGTGATGTCTTCAACATAAGCTATTATGGCAGAGGGCACCCTCTTTCTGCAGACCCCCTGTCTGCCATTTCACTGGTGGAATTTAACCCCGAAATAGCCAGGGCCCAGTGTTGGATTACACATTTCTATCACCTATGAATAGCTCAGAGTAGCTCTATGATCTAAGAACAGCTGGAGTCATTTCCATCGTTTTTGTGTTGTTATGCTCACCTAACAGGATGGCTGTGGCAGACGTGTTGTTATTTCATGGTTTCTTGGCCACCACTTCACTTGTTTGGCTCAGTTCAGGTGCAGGGCTCTTGTTCATAGAATGCAATGATGTGCAAATCACTTAAACTCTATATTTAATTGAAAATAGTACAAAGACAACACATTAAATGTTGAAACTGAGACATTTTATTGGTTTTTGAAAAATATTTGCCCAGTTTGAATTCGATTCCAGCAACTGATCTCAAAAAAAGTTGGAACAGGGCAACAAAAGACTAGTAAAGTTGTGTATTGCTAAAAAAAAGCTGGTAAAGCAGGTCAACAGGTAAGTAACATAAATATAAAGGAATAAAAGTATAATAAAAAAGTATATAAGTATAAAAAGAGCATTCGAGAGAGGCTGAGTCTTTCAGAAGTAAAGATGGGGATGGGTTCACCACTCTGTAAAGGATGACCTCGTCATCTATGGTACAAAATATCATTAAAAGATTGAGAGAATCTCAAGAATCTCGTGATCTTCAGGCCCTCAGGTGTCACTGCATTAAAAACAGATATGATTCTGTAGAGGAAATCACTGTATGTGATGAGAAACACTTCTGAAAACCAGTTCTTTCAACACAGTTCATCACTGCATCCACAAATGCAAGTTAAAACTCTACCGTGCAAAGAAGAAACTGTATATAAACAGGATCCAGAAACACTGCTGCCTTCTCTGGGCCCGATCTCATTTAAGATGGACTGAGGTAAAGTGGAAAAATGTCCTTTGGTCTGATGAATGCTTCCTTAGGGCTAAAGAGGAAAGGGACCATTCAGGTTGTTATTAGCACACAGTTCAAAAGCCAGCATCCCACGGTATAGGGGTGTATTACTGCACATGGCATGGGTGACTAGCACATCTGTGGAGGCACCATTAACGCTGAATGATGCAGATTTTAGAACAACATATGCTGCCATCCAGGCGGCATCTTTTTCAGGGAAGGCTTTACTTATTTCAGCAAGACAATGTCAAACAACATTCTGCATGTATTACAACAGCGTGGCTCCGTAATAAAATAGTCCAGTGCCAAACTGGCCTGACTGCAGTCCAATTATGTCACCTGTTGAAAACATTTAGCACATTATGAAACAAAAAATATAAAGGAGACCCTGAACTGTTGAGCAGTTGAAATCCTGTGTTGAGAGAGAATGAGAAAACATTTCACTTTCAAAACTACAGCTGTCGGTCTCCTCATTCCCAAATGCTTACAGAGTGTTGATAAAAAAAGAGGTGATGAAACACAGTGGTAAACAGGCCCTGTCCCAATTTTTTGTTATGTGTTGCTGGTGTCAAATTTAAAATGTGCATATATTTTTCAAAAAACAATAGAATTTCTAAGTTTCAACATTTGATATGTTGTCTTTTTGCTATTTTTAATTAAATATATAATCTAAATGATTTGCACATTGTTACATTTGTTTTTAGTTGCATTTTGCACATCGTCCTAACCTTTTTGGAAACAGGGTTGTAGGTGTGTGGAAACTATCTAGTAGCAACTTAAGATGAGTTAGACTCAGAGGTTTTGACTGAGTGTGCAATGCAGTACAATAATGAATGCATGAATACACAAGTTTGTCACAAATTGCCATTTGTACAAAACAATCATTTTGTATGAATGAAGTTTTATTTAACAACCAGCTCTGCAGTGCAATAACAGGCTCCTCCAATAACATTCCGTGTTAAATTTAGTTTAAATATTTATGTATCATTGGAAGAAATTCCAAGTGAAGAATTTTTACAGGGATGTCTTACAAGCCTCAAATGTCAGTGTTTAAGCCAGAATCAGAATAAATTATATTAAACCCATTGTGGGAAATACACCATGTTTCCCAAAATGCCAATGCATGTACAATCCAGTATAAACAGGCACTACCGTAGCACTGCAAATTCCGTAGAAAAACAAGCAAAAATTATCATTATAGGTTGTGAAAGTGAAAGGTATCTATGTTAAAACACTGATATGAAATGCAGCGCTGGTGCATGTTCATGTCAATCAAGTTCATGAACTCATTGGCATACCCAAAGGTCTGTTTTATGTTGGTTCAAAATGTTGTAGGTGGGATATTGAAATATTAATTAAACATTTTGATATTGGAATTGTAAAAAATCCAGTGTCCATCTTTGGTCACTACAGCAACTTTTTCATTTTATCAGCAAGCTTAGAAGTGTGAGCGGGAAAAAAATACAAATGAGACGAAGTACAATTAGTTAGTGCTAATTATACCAGCGTTTTGAGCTTCTGGTGCTCCATCACTATGGAGAACTCAGTACCACTGCTCCACAGCCCAGTGCTGGGGGGCTGTATGCCCCTCTAGCTGATGTTTGGAATGATGGCTCATGTGCGGCTGCTTCAGAGTGTCCTATTCTATTGGTCAGTGCTTGTCTACGGAGATCATACAAGCTATGTGCACAACTGACCGCCTGCGTCAGCAATGGGTGACCTTAAAGCGCTAATGAGAAGGCTTACCTGGATTCTTTTGGATGTGTAGTGTATCATGAGATAATGTAATGGCAACATATTATAAAGATTGTTACTGTTGCTACCAACATAGCATTGGTGGTCTGTAGATTTTTGCATCATTCCAAGGTCAGCAGGAGCTTCCGTTCTGGCTGGCAGATGGAGCATTAGCATACTTCCTTAACAGACCCCCTCCACCCCCTAAGAGGATGACTTCTCATTGCAGACCACAGCGACAGCACCGCCCCCCCTTCCTCCCTGCTTTACACTGAAGGCATACATTCACTGAGATGAAGTGTAATCAGTGCAAATGACAGTGATAAAGTGGGCGTGGACCTTTGGGGCAAATTAGAATTCTTTATGTTCTCAATGCTCCCATACCAGCTTAATGTAATATTTCGGGTAGTAATAGGACAAGGAAGTAAAGGTCACGTCTAGTCTTCAGGGGGGTATTTCTGGCTCTCCTCTTCGGCCTCAGCACTGCTGACATTTTGTATTCCGTGCACACACAAAAATATTCCGAAATAAGGTTACGGTTCCCTCCGCCGCAAGAAGTAATTGACGGCTTGACACTGGAAAACAAAAGCTCTATTCATGATCGCAAATTGAATTTAGTAATATCCACTAATGCCACTGTAGGAGCAGAGGAAAGGGATGGAGAGAGAGAAAGAGAGAGAGGGAGAGAGAGAGAGAGAGAGAGAGAGAATGCTCTTCAAGGTAATTACCTTCAATTTTATGCTATTCAACTCCATCAAACAGCCACAGCACAAAATACATCCCCAGAGAAACGAATCAACACATAAATAGTGTTGCCCTCTGGCGCTTCCAGATAACAAAGGTTATTCCAGGTTGGCACAGAAACATTCTTTGAGCGAATTCAGGAGGATCCCCTCACCCAGGACCACCTTCTTGAGTTTGTTTTTCTCTCTTTTTTGGCAGCAATCTCAAAGCAAAGTAGACTGAAAGACAACAAAAACGAATCCATGAATCGCTTTCAAAACACATGGACGTACCGTTATATTGCTGTTTTTGGAACAAAACCTCGTGTCTCTATTTTTGTTATTTTTCAGTTTTTTGTATAATTTGAAAATACCTGTTGCCCTTTACGTTGTGTGTAACTTTTACAATGAATGGACCGAAAGAAACGGCCCAAAATTGATTGGAAAAAAGTCTGGTTCCATTGACTTACATTAAAAGTAAAGTATGTTTTTGCCTTCTCCTGTATGGTTACCATTTTGGAGATGGTTTCATTCTGACAGCAGCGATACATGCTTCAGTAAAACTGGATATAACTACTAGGCCTTCATGTTTATCTGAAGATCATGTGAGAATGCACTGCTTTTAGAGGGTGATGATGCATAGTATAAAAACACTGATAATGTTTCAAAATGTACCGCTCACTCCCCGGTCTGTACCATCCATTTCTGGAAAATAAGCTAAAAACAGCCTATTTTGTATTCATTGTTTCTGTGATGTCACAAAAAAACAGCATGTTTGCATATTTCCGCCCGTTCGGCTTATAGCAGCTTAGCCCCACCCATTCAGAATGAAGTTAAACAGAGTATTTCAGCTCAGACTGCTTTTTTAATGACACACAGTACATGACAGCCAATCAGAGCAGAGCTAATTTACATATATCCATTTTAAAGGAATAGTTACAAGCTGTTTAATTGTAAGGGATAAAGAGAGGTTGGAAAATAGCTCCTGTAAAAAGATGAGTGGTTTTGGGTAATAAAACCACACTAGTGTTTAAAAGTGGACTTCATGAGGGGAAAAAAGGAAAACCACAAAAATGTAGGATATGGGCCCTTTAATGTATGAAGTAGCTTAAAGAAGCTAAAATAGAAGTTTAATATTCAGAGACCCTCTGTTAGACAATTGCAACACTAAAATGTGGTTACAAAACTACATATCCCAGCAATCCACAACATGAACTGTCTCATAGCATCGTATGTGTTGAAAATAAAAGTAACATTATGCACCCTGTTCTGAGATTGTAAAAATGAATTACAACTGTTTTCTACATAAACCAACACAAACATTAATAGTGGACTTCTGCAAAAAAAATAAAGTACAAGAAAATGTAGATTACCGGCCCGTTAACACCCACACACTTTCCCCAAATCCATCCCAGAGCAAAACATGTAAATACATTGTACATTTATGTTCAGTGGCTTCCTGAACTGAACCTGACTTTGAACAGTTCAAAAGGGAAAAACATCAAAAAAATGAATGCTTGGGTTCATTAAGTGCTATTTTATAATCATCTGTGGGAATAAAACCCAGTTAAGGTGGCCAGATCTTGAACAAGTCATCATTCAAGGAAAAAACAAACAGACATCTTGTTCATTTTTTCTCAAATCTTTAACAGCATATCCATGATATTGTTCTGGTCAGATTTCAGATATGGTAGATAACACTACAAACACTCCCATCTTTTCAATGCACAGTTAAGCCAACATTTAAGTTTACTGAACGCTGAAGGTAAGAGTATCATATAGTGAGCTTATAATTCTCTTACTAAAGAAAGCAAAGCAGGATCCAGCACGTTTCTTCGGTTTCAGCCACACTTTCTCTCCTATTCAAGCACAGAAGAAGTCCATGTCCTGCTCTCACATACACAACGACAAAAAAGATCATCATAAAACAAAGTTTTGTAACATTTTTGAACATTTTTGAATGTCCACTTTTTAAAACGCATGCTTGTCTGTGATGATGGCAGTGAGCAGAAGTGGAGTAAACTCACCGTTGTGGGCATCTCAATAGTTTTCTTCTCAAAAATCTGTGTCTCATTAACGTGGTTGCGGGCGAAATAGCCGATGATGCCCATCTGGTCCACGTAGTGGTCACCATAAACCTGCAGGAGAAAACTGGGTATCACTTCATTTGAATGGTCCACTGCAGATGTTTTGCAGATGCTTAACTTGTTATTAAGTTACATTTGATTTAATATTTATTAACAGTGCCTTGAACACTCTAACCCCAACCTTAACCTCAACCTAGAATGTAATTCTGGTCCAGAACCCAGTCCTGATCATAACCCTAAACCTGGTTATAATCCTAGTCTTAACAGCTAATGTTACGGAGAATCGGCACAGTTTGTTATTCTGGCCAAAATGAAAAATGAATCACTGCTACGTCTGTTATAAACATGCTTCTTCATATCCCACAGCAGCATCACAGTAATATGTAGAGTGAGATTTTCTTGTTTATATACAAGAAAAGGACAGTGGTTTTCAATCTGTGGGCCGCAGCCCCCCCAGTGGCCCGTGGTGGTACTGCTCAGTGACATTAGCGGTATGTTTTTTTAAACTGCAAAACTTCATTACAATATTTAGAAATTTGACCAAGCCAATAATTTTATATGACAGATATTATAGCTGTAATAATTATCTCCATCAAAATACATAGATATGTAGGTGGAACTCAGTGATCGGTCTGGAAAAAAATGCATGACACAGCTAGTAAGATATGATTAGATTTTCAGCGCAAGGCAATGAAAAATGTATGAAATTCATCCATCATAAATACCTAAAAACAGAAAGTTGTAGGTTTTTATGATGATTATTTTGTTGTGTAATTATACAGTCAAGTGAAATTCGATAGGCTATGTTGATTATTGTGTTATATGTGCTCGCATTCGAAGCAGTCAGGCCTCTTAAATCTTCATGTGGGCTGTGAACACTTTTGTGGTCAGTTGTGTGGACGCTGAGTTTCCAAAGGCTGGGGGCCCTGCACTAGGAAACCCCCTTCTGATGATGGATGTTGAAGGTGTGAGGAACTTTTGACAAACTGCTTTGGGGTGAAATTTTGGATGAGCTGTGTTGAATTTTGTTTTTTCCCTTAGCTGCCGAATTTAGTTCAGATAGCTAACGTTACTGCTGGGAAGCTGAACAGTTACGCAGGTATCTGGATATCTTACCTCAGTCTGGATTCTTTTCTCTGACTAAAAGGTAAAAGCTTTATGATTTTGTTCGTAGGAGTTACACTAATGCTTGTTTGATTTACTTATTAGCCCATATATCAGTGGTTAGTCTAGCAATCAGGATTAGTTGACACCACAGGGATGCCTGATGCTTGGGCAGTGTATTATGGGTATTGTAGTAAAAGGACATTGATGAACGAAAACAATGAATGTGAAAACCATGTAGAATCCATTAACCAATGAAGCTGAGGGATTTGATGCTGCACAACTGCATGACATGACAAAGTAACATATTAAACTCTGGTTTTATCCCCTTATATTTTTTGTGCTTCTTTTCAGTAACCCTAAAGAAAAAACCCTGACTGACAGTGTGTTTAGTTCTTATTAGAATAAGTCATTTCTTGCCAAATATAGTGTATGTGAACAGAGCTCCTACTTACACACACTGCAGAGACAATGTGCACTGTTTCAAGCATCTTAATCTGTGCACTTTTTGATCATTACAAGAATGTATTATGTCTTATCCTATAAGGATATAAGAGTGGCCATAATCTTGCAACAGCAGCTTTCATCAGTTCTTCTTTTATCGGAAGATAAGGACACACAAGTGCACACATATGAAGCGCAGACTGATACGCAGAGAGAAATAAATCACGCTGACAGCTCAGATACTCACACTTCCATACCAGAAGACTCCAGCTCCCTCTACAGGCTTAAGTTTGGAATAAACATAAATAATCTGGCCTTTCTTCAGGTTAATGAACCTGCAGTCCGAAGCTATGTAGTCCTCCAGAGCTTCAGCCGCTGAGATCACATCTATAGAGAGATAAAAGTGTTTTTCAGCACTTGCCAAAGAAAGCAAACTTCTCTTTCTGTACATAAGAATGTAAAGTACATTGTGCACATTTGAATCCAAAAAAATCTAAGTGTTTTCAGTGTGCATCTATCTACAGTCTTAAAAATAAAGGTGTCAAAAGGGTTTCTTTGAGGTGACGCCACAGAGGAACCACTTTTGGTTAGATCGGTTGGTGGTTTCAGTTGATTTTTTAAGAACTGTGTATTTAAAGGTTCTTTTGGAGGCCTCACCTCAAAGAAACCTATGTCAAATAAACTCACATGAGCAGTACTTGTCTGCACATATTTTTCTGTCTGCCAGTTTCTCCATACGAACTGCGCGTGCAGCTTGGTGCAGAAGTCCAAAAGAGACAGAAAACACAATCAGGCAGCCCAGCTTGTCCATCTTCAGGCCAGGTGAAGTGAGAAATGACTTCTTACTGCAACATTCCCCGCTGCACCCCTCTGGGGGGAAACGGAACAAACTTCTTTGGGACAGCCAATGAGGCCACAGCTTCGGAAGTCCACATTCCAAACCCGAGGGGGTGTCAGCGCTCTGTTTGCTGAACTAATATTTTTTTCCTTCTTCTGTGAAATGCTCTCTTGTTCATGTTGAATTATAATGCATGTTTTTGACAGAGCCGTCACTGTGAGCCTACAAGGCACAGCTGTAAAAATGGACCCATTCTGCACTAATTAATAATAAATTGCATGGTTATTTAGCTGCAATATGGTTTTATGATTTTCCTTCTTTATTTAATTTTGCTATATACACATTTAAATCTGGGCACAGCAGTACAGTGTTTGAAGAAGTGTCAGATAAAGGGCATTCATACCTTTGCCTTCACAAAAATTTGCCCTTCTGCAAGTGTCGGACAAGATAATGAATATAATTTATAAAAAGTTGTTTGACTGCTTTGTTATTTCCAAATGGCAGCAGTGCGGTATTTTAAGAAACAGTCTGTTTAAATGTCTGCCTAAGCCTTCATTAAGCTCTGAACTGCATATGCCATCAGGGTTTCCAGGTCTGCGGGTTACTTTAAAAATGCAGTCGTGGGAGAAAATTATAAAGTTTCAGCTTCTGGTGGACGCCTTTCAAACAAACTTTGGTTTGGAGATACTTGCTGGACTTGGCAACCTTGCCTCAATAGCAACTGCCAAAGGTGCACCACAGGTGTGCTAATCAGCGTAAACAGTGAGAGATGTTTGAAGTTAATGAAACTGAAAACTGAAAGCTATAATGTTTGAGGATGGTCTTAACATTTTTAATAAAATTTAAAAATAATATAAAGATGAGGCTCTGCCAGCTGCATCTCCAGAATGAGAATAGCCAAGCTAACTCCGTGACGTATTGCTGCCATAACTGCTGCTAACGCTACTGTTATGTGTGTCGACATCATGCCTGATATCCTAAATGTGTTGGGAATGGCTGTGGATGGTTTTGTTTGGGGGATAAAATGCTGATTAAAGAACTAACAGGTCAAAAAGCACCAATAAATTATCCATCATTCCACACAGAGAGCAGCTCTGAGTATCTCACATCTTACATTTTTTAATAGTTTTGCCAGAAATGGCTCAAAATTGCTCAAAGTCTGAAGGGTGATGTGGTTTACCTTGATGCTAACAGCAGAACCACCCCCCCCCTCCACCTGGCAGCATTATCCTTAACATGAACATTCGAAGCTCGTAACAGACGTCCCAGTAACATATTTACACTTTGTATGTTGCACTTTTACTGTTGGAAATCATCATGTTTTCTTTTCGTACTGTGACGTATTTGTGAGTTGAACTCAGGGAGGGTCTCTGAGCAAACTGACCATTTTCTCTCCATGATAGGTGGGACTGGTGGAACATGATATTACTGGTTAAAACTGTTTTTCTCCACCCCCTTGTGCGTGATGATGTCATCACAAATCTGAAGACATTTTAGAGGCGGGGCATAGTCAATACATTGTGAGGAAATACTAAGAAAAAACAAGAATTTTATCTTTTAAATGGTATAGCATGATGAGTCGTGCTTATTGGGACAGACTAAAGTAACACGGAACAAGATCAAGTTTGATTTTCAAATTTAGGTCTATTTGAATATTACTGGTGGAGACTGTTAGCTGTGAGCATTAGCTGAGCTGGTCACCTGAGACCTGTATAATGGGAGGGAAACACTGGCTATGATATAGAAAAAATAAGCTATAACAGTGGTTTTCATACTGTAGGCCGTGACCCGCTGGTAGGTGAAAGTGTGGCGATGAGTAGGTCACCAGAAAACAGCACAAATGCATATTTTTTGTTAGCTACAGAGGACCATGTTGAGCCATTTTAATAAGAAGAAGTAAAAAAGAAGAATACAAACGTTATGACGTTATAACCAACAGGTGGTGCCATTTCTACATCCATAAGGTCCTACTAAAGCACCATTGGTCATCAGGCCAAAGGCCACAGAGATCAGAGTACAGTGGAAGGCAAACTTGCCTACTAACCTAGCAAACAACATTGACCAGAACAGATGTAAATAAGACATGCAATGTCCAACAAAATATTAATAAAATTTATTAATGTGTTCACACTGAAGAGCGGAATGGATTACAGTTAATTATAGAAAGAATGTGTCATTATTTTATTATTTTCTACTCCACAGTCTCACTAAATATGTAACAATGTGTGCATATTTAATTTGTTTGTTATGTTCGCTATTGTATTTGTTGATTGAAATAACTGTAATATTGAGTAAAAGTGGAGTGAAAGCAACAGTATTTTTGACTGGTTTATATCTTATTTGATTTTACTGAATAATTGGTGGGTCTCATGACTAACGGTACCTCCACATGTGGGTCCTCGTATGAAAAGTTTGGGACCCCTGAGCTTTAGCACATTTTGATTATTATTATTATTATTATTATTATTATTATTAAGTGCCAGCAGGACAATTTTGACTCCTGGTGACCACGTGGACAGTGTTTCTCCAGAATGTCCCGTCTTCTGTTTGAGTCTACAGGCTTCTGAATGGCTTGTTCATGATGTCTCTGATTGTCTCCACCCATCTTGCTGCTGGTTGTCCTCTTCCTTTTACCTTCAACCGCTCCAAGCATAATAGTGTTTTCCAATGAATTGGTTCTTCTCATAAAATGTCCAAAATAAGAGCTTCACTTTGACTATCTGGGCTTTGAGTCAGAGGTGAGGCTTGATATATTGTTTGTTTTCTTTGCCTTCCAAGGCTCTCTCAAAAATCTTTGCAAGTTCAAAGGTATCAATATTTTGCCTGTCCTGTTTGTTTGTCTAGCTTTCACGTCCATAAAGAGCCACAGAGAAAACCACAGCCTGGACAGTTCTGATCTTTGTTTGTAATGCAAGGCTAATGGAAGAACTCAATATTTGTTTTATTGTAATTGTAATTCAGAATTGAATGTATTTTCTGTGCCTGCCCTTTAATTTGCACTGAAGATGAATGAAGAGGTTGGTGTTAGTGTTTGTTGCTTCCCTAATTTTAATGATGGCTTCAAACCTGAGAGAGCCTTTAAAATCTAACACACCAGCATGTCAGACACCAACTGTTATGAAATATTATATAACCTCAAAGAAACACAAAGTGTAATTTTACTATTTCTGGTAAAGTTTCACAACCATTCACACTGTATGGTCAATACACACAAAAACAGCACGTTTTGAAATCACTGTGGCTATGATGTCACAACCATGACCATAGTATCAACCCTTCACCCTAAAACAGTTTAGCCTGTCTAATCATGTTGAAGCAATAAGGAGTGTTGTTGCAGAGTTATTGAAGAAAATGTGTATGGAAGGGATAAAGCATGATATTTAATGTGTTATTACGTAGCTTTCCAACCAGCCCCGACATTTTGTGTGTTTTTTTTAACCATGCAAATGTTAAAAGTGGACCTCAAGGGGAAAAAATAGAATACAGGTAAAACGTGGAATATAGAATAAGAATATAATCTTTAAAGAGTTTGCTTTAAGAAGAATCATCTTGACAATTAGTAATAAAAACATGATATGAGCATTTTTTAAACACACTTCAAGAAACTCATTTGCTTTTTGTGTTACTTTGCATTCACTGACCAGTATTTGTGATATTTGATTATTGCATATAACTATACGATATGGCGTTATATTTAATGTAAATAAATAAATAAATAAGGAATGTATTATTTTAAATATGAAAATATGTAAGGTTGCTATTTTGTTATATTATTGTTATATCATGCATTTATTGTACATTTCACATAATCTGTATTATTCATTATACTCGACTTCATTACTGGGGATGTGTATGGAGGGAAAAACTACTGAGACCCAGACCTGGGTATCCTCATATCTAGTTACGGTCATAACCAAGTTACAAGCTGCAGTAAACACAACATGCTGTTCCAGTTTTTTTTGTTTTTTTTTCATGTGCTTATTTCAGCAGGAGGCCTCAAGACAGTACTAAGAACAGTCTTAATAACCATAATAAACAAAATGTATACATGTAGGGGGTACAATTACACTAAAGAATAATGCGCTTAATCTTTTTACAGCCTTTCTATTTGTTGAATGAAGAACAGTTTTGACAAATGGCCTCATCTCATATAAAAGAACCCAGGAATAACAAGGCACAGCATTTCTAAATGTACATTTACGGATATAAAATCTTGCTGGGGTTATAATATACTTTAAAAAGTATGTAAACCAGGTTAACTTTACATTTTGGGTTCGTTGAACCTAAAATAATACGTTGACAAATGTAAAACACAATTATTCTTCTATTAATTCAATATTATAAGGACTCAAAATGTCAGGTTAACCAGGTTTACTTACTTTTCTTGGTTTAAAAGCTGCATCATTTCTCACTTTATCTCCAAAATATGCTTAAAAACGAACAAAACATTTTCCATTTTCCATAAAAGTAAAAATCTGATCAATTACAAAGCTGGTCAAGTCTTTCCAAAACAGTCTTGCATAATCGCGTTCCACAAGCAATATTGCCGTACAGTTACAGCAGAAAAAAATCTAATGAATATTCATAACATCTGCTTGACCTCCATTCGTTTCCTCCGTCCAATGCGTTGCTCCGGCTCATGAATATTAAGTAGGTGTGACGTAGCGAGCTGCTTCCGCAAACTTGAAAACCAAGCCGAGTTGTTTTGGTTTTTTTAAGCGGGGGGATGTTCCGCCGCTCTTTATTTATGCTTCTCTCCCTCCTTTTTTTGTTATTTATTTCTAGCCTAGGCACGTTAAGCTACACAGAGAGCGAATGATTCCGTTAATACCGTTAAATTAATTTCTGTAATGCTAGTTATTCCCAAGCCAGCAAAGTAGTTTGAGGGTGCTGAGCGGTAATGGATTCACGGGTATCGGAGCTTTTCGGTGCGGGTTCCGCTTTTAAAACGACCCCTCAAGGAGCGGGGTCGGCTTCAAATAACGCTGCTGTGGCGGCCACGAAAAAAACCTTCTCAAAAAATGGCAAAAAGGCGAAGAACCGATCAGCCCGACATCCTAAACCAAGCAATAATCCGCCTTATCTACCTCCAGAGGTGAGCCGAACATCCTTCTCTTCTTTCTTTCTTACTACCAGCTAAATTAGCCATCGTTGGCTCACACACTGTAGGCAGGAACGACAACATTTTATCGTTTTTAATTCCTAATTAAAACGTCCTAACGTTTTCCTGTTCACCAGCTTCTTATTCGAATTTTCCCGTTCCACCTTAAATGGAGCTGCAATTCTATTCTGGCGCCTGAGGATGAGAACGTAGCTGCCGCACCGTTTAAGGTGGAACGGAAAATTCGACCAAGAAGCCGGCGAATGACTTGCTTCCTAATACTTAACTAACAAAAACAGCCTTCTAGGTTTAGATGAGGCTGGCAGGTTAACGCTAACATTTTAACTGACTTATCTGTCCAGCTGTTTTCGTTACTAAGCTAGGTTAACGTTAGCTCACTAAAGTGCTGGCTAACGTTAACGTTAGCTGCTGGCTGTGGCTAACTCAAATGTTGTGTTGATTTGCGGAGCTGGTTTAGTGTTTTCGTTAAAACATGAAGGTCAAACGTGTAACCCAGCGGGCTAAAGACTGTCTTCGCGATTAAACTTTTCAAAGTCGAGCAGGTAGGTATACAATCAGGCTTAAGTGGGACACGTAGACAAGCCTTCCTCGGTGCTCAGATTTCACTTTCGAAAAGGCGAAGGAGAGAAGACCTCAAAGGGCAACCGGGTCTCCTCGTTCTCTGATGCCACAGAGTCAGACTTACTGCACTTCATGTGCTTCACACAGCCAGTCGAGTTTAAAATGAGAGCTAGTACTAATCAGCAGTTTGTAAGGCTGTTTCTGACTGAGCTAACTTCTTTGATCTGACGTAACGTTAGTGTAACAGCTGTGTTTACGATGATGACTCAGACAAAGAATCACTGACCTGCCATTTAAGCTTGATGAGGCTGTTTGTACCTGTAACTGTGAATAGTGTTTTGCTCTGTATAAGTGGACACTACTGACACTTCAAAATTCAGAATTCACTTATATATACAGTACTGTACACAGTACGACCATATAATCCTAACTAGGGTGGGCAGTATGAAGATATTTCATCGTTTTTGTGATAAAAAGATGCTTTTCTGAGCATACTGTGCATATTAGTACTTATAAAACACTCACCATGCTCTCAAAGTGAGCATAATTAGGCCTGTTTAATTAGATTTAGTGTAGTGCAGTTTGTAAAACATTGAATAGTTGTAGTTGTAGGTTGTTATTATTATTATTATTATTATTAATGTATTTTTATATGTGACGCTAGAAGTTTTGTCTCGTCTATTGCAACTTATTCATTCTCAGAAAAACAAATATCGTGATGCATATCGTGTTTCGTGACTTAATATTTTTGCCACCCTGGTGCTAACAGTAAGTGTGTTTTTGCCAGTAAAAGCACTATATGACATTAGGATACACACAAATAACCATAACATCATAGTCGGAATAAAACAATCTGTCTCCATATTTGCCTTGCTTTCAGTTCTCGGCATGATTTGAAAATACCACATGCCCTTTACGTTTTGTCAAAATTTCATAACAACTGGACCAATAAAAGTGATCCAAATATTATTACATTAAAGTTGCACAATGTAAGATTTATTTATTTGTTTATTTTTCCCTCAAAAAGAAGATCCAGGTCTTAAGTGCAAAATCAGCATAATACATGACATGATGACAACAATAGATAACTCACTTACATCCTCAGAAGTTGCGTCTTTCACCAAGTTTTGACTGAGTTCTCTTTGAATTCTCTTTTTAATCGTCACATTCATCCACGCGGGGAAGGGATCCAAAGCACCAACCAAGTTACAGTATATTTTCCACGTTATGTGCAATTTCACATTTCCACCAGAGAGGTCTCCAAATCCCCAAAACTGACATAGTGTAGCTTTAACTTGTATACGTAAACTTTAAAAAGTTTTTTTTGCTTCTCTTGTAAAGTTACCATTTTAGAGATGCAAGGTTTTGTTCCAGGAACGATAAATGCAGTAAAACATAACAATTAAGATTGACTTGTTTTTAAAACAGATCTTGATATGTTAGTGTGTTAAAAGAACAGGTTTGGTTCTCACTGCACTCCAGCCATCGCAGGTATTTGTTTGATTCTATCAGCAGCACGCCTGATTTAATTTAATGAAGCATTGATTAGATAACCTAGGTATTGGATGGTAACTGGGATTTTTGGAGGAGAGCTTTGAAAATAGTTAAGCTATTTATATGTACAAACAGTTTGTAAATATGCATAAGTGTTTTTGTGTTATCTATTTTATTCACATATCACAAAACCAAATTATACTGGCTGCTGTAATTGCCAGTGAATTAAGTCTAAACATATAATAAACATGTAACTGTAACACATTTTCAGTAAAATCTAACATGGCCTAAGGTCTCCTGGGTCGTGTTCAGTGGGTGTACAGGGGTCACGTCCATTCGGGTCTTTCTCTTCAGATGTTAAGGTCTTTGTATCCTGGATGATGGACTGTTCAGAGTGTCTGTAATAGGCAGTTTCCTGCTTTGTGCCATTGAAAACTGAACCACAGTGACCATTGTCTCAGCACTATTCAGTAAAGACTCTGTACTTTTCTTTTGTTTCAGGTTGAAGAGGGGAACATAGAGTACAAGGTAAGCTTTTAGCACTTAACTCCTCTCTTAATGGGTGCCTATGAGCTGTCTTGCTGAAAGCTGCAAAGCTGTCCTCTGTTGTTTGTACAGCTTTTTTTTTACCCTCAAAATGCTACAGAAAATGATTAAACTCTGCCATCTATTCTTTTAGATCTTTGAGATTTTGTGTTATTAGAAAAACAACTGTTTTTTGTCATTTTTCCTGATGATCTAATTTGGATGTACAGGGTGATTCAGAAAGATTCATCTGATTTCAGAATGATTAATTCACTTGTAAATCAGTACAGAACAATGTAGTAAACTCTAAATGGTTTAGATGCGCATAGAGTTTATTATGTATTTGTACAAGTGCTCAATATGAACCTCTTCCAGCTGTACGGACAACATGAACACCATATTCAAATACACCCCATACTCGATTGAGCATGTCGGGTGTCACTGTACTCACGGCTCTTTCAATGCGATTTCGGATTCACTCTTATTGATGTGGAGAACACAAACCGCTTTCTGCGCAGGGGTCTCCATCTCCTCGCAGACTGAAGGGAGACTGAAGGGAAACTATGACCCCCTCTTTCAATTGGTATGTGATTGGTTCCTAGGCACCTCACGGTTGTAAAAATATGGCGTTTTGAAATCGGATGAATCTTTTTGAATCACCCTGTAGTTTAATGTTAAAATGCAGTTTAAAGTTACAGTGTAAGATTAGCAGAGAAACTGGTGAACTGGTTAAAAGGCCCATATCCTACATTTTTCTTAGATTTTATTTTCCCTGAGTTCCACTTATAACATTGGTGTGGTTATGCATCAAAATGTCATAATTAATTTTCACGTGGCTATTTTCCGACCTCTTGAAATCGTTTGGAATTTAACAGGCTGTTTTTGTTACTGAAGACTGTTACAAGATAAATGAGCTCTGTTATGTTTGGGCGCTGAAATTTTCCTTAGAACTTCAGTGTGAATGGGCAGAGCTAAGCTGCTATAGACTGAATGTGTGTAAATGAATTCTTGTGACATCACAGAAACAGTGAATTCAAAACAGTTTTTTGCAGCATAATTTCCATATATGGACTGTATAGACTGGCTAGTGAGTGGCGCCTTTTGCAACTTTGACAATGTTTACATTTTACTTCAAAAAAGCAAAAAAAGCAAGGGAAACTTGTTTTTCTGTTACTTGGATCTTTTAAACACACAGCCTATATCAGTATCAAACATGCAATGGGTGTTTGCACACAGATTTCTAAGCTGGTTAACTAAAAGCTCTTTTGCTTAGTTTCTTTTGAAGCTAGTCTTGTTTGACCGCGAAAACAAGCTGGGTATTACAGATCATTTTAGTAAAATTTATGCGTTCAGACATGGTTTAATTTCTTTCAGACTGTACAAAAACACAATTGTAGTTTATCTTATTTTCTGATTCCTGTCAGTTTGTTATACGTATGTAGCGACATGCATTTACATTGTAAACCCAGAACAGAAGACTCAAGCCTTTTACACTGTAACTGCAAGGTGTATAACATCGCCATAAACATCTGTAACCTGATGCCACAGTGGATTGTCAGGGCTGTATTTAGCCCACAGCTGCTCTGCCTTTACATGTAAACAAAACACATTCTGTACCTGCACATTTGATAGTGCTTGTTTCTACACCCGACTCTGTTTGACTCTATTTGCTTTCAATGAAATGCATAGGGTTAAACTTTGCACCACCACAATATGACCAAGCACACACTCTGAACTCTGATTTGGCTTTGGCGCAGCTGAAGCTGGTGAACCCCACACAGTATCGCTTCGAGCACCTGGCCACACAGATGAAATGGAGGCTCCAGGAGGGCAGGGGAGAGGCCGTGTACCAGATCGGGGTGGAAGACAACGGGCTGCTGGTTGGCTTGTCTGAAGCAGATATGAGAGCATCGCTCAGAACTCTTCGTCGGATGGCTGAGAAGTATGGCCCTCTTTAATGACTTTCACATGCATTAAATATTTATCTTGTAGATTTATAATTGGTATGTTCCTTGGCTGATAAAATCAGTTGCTGTTAAAGGGGAATTCCACTAGTCTTTCAAAATTTCTGCATAATTCAGTTATTGAGACGTAACAGTCATTTATTGTTTTAATTGAAATGTTTCATCGTAAGGAAACTTATCAGCGCTGATTTCTTCACAGTGGTGGTGATAACAGATATGTGGCCATTTTACTTACTATTTAAGCTGACCAGTGGGCCTTTACTTGTTTTTTTGCATTTTAGTGTTAATAACAAATCTGGAAAAAAAAAAATAGCCTCCGGGGACTGTTTCCTCTCGCAGCACCTGTGTCTCTCCGCCATGAATGGATTTTAATATTAGTATGTTTTGGGCAAAATCTTCTCAAAACCATGTAAAGCAGTATCTCAGGTTTGAGGCAGAGTGTCCATAACCATTTTATGTAATAACCCTTCAGACGTCTGGTTCCTATCACCACCACTGTGAACAATTCCGACTCAGAACGTTTTTCTAGAGTGTCTGTTTCAGATCAAACTACTCTGAATGACTTGTTTACATCTCAACTTAATTATGCTTAAATTTGGGAATAAATGGTAAAGAAATTCCCCTTTAAGGTTGAACAAATTAGTGTTAATGATAATCCTATTGTGATATTTTCTCAAAGCTGCTTTGCCTATATTATAATGAGCAAAGCATCTTTAACGTGAGGAAAACAGCTCACGTGTGAAGATTTCCATGGTCTCATTTTTATATATCATACTTTACATAGCTGAGTTTGCTCTCTGTAGCTGCTGACCATCTGCTACAGTATTACTGTCATACCCATCCCAAAACCAGAGAACTAGCTGTATGTCTGAAGAATTTAAGTTTATTTCTTGCAGCCAGGTACCAGACAAGTAGCCGGCCTATGAAACAATGGACTGACGCAGTTTTATAGCTAGACTGATGCCATGATTAGGCCCAGCCTATACATAACAAGTGGCAGGTGTGACAGATATGACCATTTAGGGATATACAAAAATATGCAGAACAGAATGTTCTAAATACAATCAAAGCACAGGTACACATAATACTGCACTGTATAACACAGCACTAAACACATTACACAGCAATAGATTCCTTTAAGACAGAGGGTAAAATGACTAGAAAATAACCTTTAGCACAAAAACATTGATGACGGAGAGCTAATGAAGATGCTGAAGCTCCACACCTTTAAAACATTTTGTGTTTCTTCTGTTTATTTTGCAAATAAACTTAACTAAAACTATTGGAGTCTGTTTTAGTCTCCTTCGTACAAACCAATATTGTCTAGTATCATCTTTTATCAGAGTTTTAGATCCTGAAAATCAGTGTTGAATTATGGTTGGAATGGTGCACAGTTGGAATAATAATAGCATGTAATTGAAATATGAAGATGTCTGTGTGAATGATGTGACCCCAAGTTTATTTAATCCCCTCTTTGTGACTGTGTCTCAGGGTGGGGGCTGACATCACAGTCCTCAGAGAGAGGGAGGTGGATTATGAGTCTGAGGAGCCACGGAAAATCGCAGAGGTCCTCGTCAGGAAAGTGCCAGATGACCAGCAGGTGAGCATCCTTGTTAACATTTAAATGAACACAAATTAGAGGCCTGTGTATGTTTTGCATAGAGCTGAGCCTGCTGACACCTTTTATGGTTGTGTCTATAGTTCCTGGATCTGCGGGTAGCAGTGCTGGGTAACGTGGACTCGGGGAAGTCCACTCTGCTGGGTGTGCTTACGCAAGGGGAGCTGGATAATGGCAGGGGCAGAGCACGGCTCAACCTTTTCCGACACCTCCACGAGATCCAGACAGGAAGAACCTCCAGTATCAGCTTTGAAATCCTGGGCTTCGATAGCAAAGGAGAGGTGAGAGATCATTAGATCATTTGTTATTTGTATGTTAAAGGAATACATGCTAACACGATTTCTGTCTGTATCTCTGTAGAATATGGTTCATTTATCACAGACAGTAGTTTCCCTGAATTTGGCACGAACAGAAAAAACACCCACAGTAGAAGCCAATGGGAAGGTGTTTCAGCACCTGCACACTGGTTTCTATTGCAAGTGTGTTTTGGGTAAATACACTTTAAGAAGATGGTTCTTTAAGGGTTCTTTAGTAAAGACAATATACATAGAACTGTGAACACTCAAAAACTCTTTGCATGATTAAAGGGTTCTTCAGATTGATGAAGAATATGCTGTAGAGGGTTGTATGTAGAGCCTTTTTGAAAAGGGTTCTATGGTTATATCAAGCTTGTTACGGTAGTAGAACCCTTTTTGGTGCTACATAGAACCCTTTTGAAGAACCATTTCATGATGCAAAGAGCCCTTTATTCATGCAAAGGGTTCTTTGAGTGTTCATAGTTCTATGTATATTCCCTTTACTAAAGAACTCTTGAAGAACACCCTTTTTTTGGGGGTGTATTTACTCAAAACACACTTCCTATGGTTCTAGTTTTATAGAACCATTGTCTTTACTAAAGAACCATTGAAGGAACCATATTTAAGAGTGTAGGATTCATGTTCTTTTCTAAGGATCAGGTATCAAAATTATGGTCTGTAGTAATTAATTGTCCATCAGGTTAGAAAAAAAACATAATTAGTTTATTGATTTCTCTTTTGCGATTATAACAGGACACTAGTATTCCCATATATGAACATAATCGAACTTTTAAACATTTTTGGAGATCTGAAGTCCTATTAATGCCACATTTGTTGTAACTAACATAGATGAGATTGTTCTGTAAGTGCAGCTGTGAATCTGTACTGGTTGAAGGCTCTCTGTGCTGCAGGCGGATATCATGCCTACAAAAAGCCACCTATATTTTATGGTGTACATTTTAGGACTTCCTCACACCACAGTGTCAAGTTTCACACATCAGACAAAACACTGTCGTGTTGTCATGTCACAGCTCTCATATAATCAGGCTAAGCTAAGAGGCTACAAATACACAGCATTGGATTGTATAGTTTGTGTGAAATTCCTAGTTTTGTTCTTTCTTGCTAGTTTAATTACAGTTTTGTGGCCAAATTACATATTATTTGGCCACAAAATATATATATATATCATATTATTATGACAGTAAACCACGACAACAACTTCTACTCAACTGCATTATTGTGTTCTTTTATTTGACAAAGATTAAACCTTTTTACTCCTGTGTCCACTTCAGAGTTAGGGACTGTGTCAAAATTACTGTTTTTTTTTGTTTTTTTTTACTAATGTTATTATTGTTGTCATTATTGTCATTACTACTGATAGTAATTTTAATAATAATTATAATATCTCTACAAGTACATCTGTTGATGGTTTTGGGCACAGAAAATGCTTCTTGTAAAATCATAACAGCCTGGTTAAACCGCATTTAACTATGGTTATTTTCCATGCGGTTATCCGAATAAGAGGATTCTGTTACCAACACAGGACTCTGTGCTTTGTATCTGCATTTATAAGGCAAGTTCTTCCTCACAGTTTCATTTCCAAACCAAGAAGAGCTTTGTTTTTGTTAAAGTAAAACATTACTTGCTATTATCACATAAGAGGAAGTTATTTATGCTTATTTTTTATTTATTTATGTTTTGGTGTTTATTGCTTTTGGTGAACGACTGTATTTTTCTGCCCACAGGTGGTGAATTACAGTGACTCCCGGACAGCAGAGGAAATCTGCGAGAGTGCCTCAAAAATGATCACCTTCATCGACCTGGCTGGCCACCACAAATATCTGAAGACTACCATCTTTGGCCTTACCAGCTATTGCCCTGACTTTGCCATGCTAGTGGTCAGCGCAAACACAGGCATAGGTAACTCTCTATATATGCAAGTCTAATTGCTCTATGTCTACATTTTCATGTGTCTGAGGTTTGTTTAAAAGATAGTAGTCTAGACTACAGGCACTCTGACCTGACTGCAGATAAACCCGTGTTAAGGTGCCTCGGCCAGCGGAGCGCATTCTGATAAATGTCAGATAGCAGGGCAAAGTCGCGCAGACTGGCCTCGTAATATTTATGTGCACTTCAGCCTTCACTTCTCAAACAACCTATATAGGTTATGTAATTAGGAACATCACATGTTACTCTTGGCCTCATTCCTTATGTCTCCCACTACCCTAAAATAATCCGGACGGCCCTGGTGAGTGTCACAGGCTGGGGCCCAGGCGGTCTGAGGTGGGGGGATTGTAATCTAAACCCTGCCAGACCAGTGCTGGCTCTACACACCCAGAGATAAGACAAATTGAGAGCCTGGGAGAATAATGAACAGAGAATGCTGAGTTGCCATAATATAAACCAAACCTCTGCGTGAATATCAGCATATGCGTCATGAGATGCATGATCATAAATGTTTGTCGTAATGACCAACCTTATTCTCAGATTCAGCCACAAAAGGTCATTAAGATTAGCTGCTGTCAACATAGCAACAAGTGTAAACATCACCTTTAAAAGGAAAATGTCAGTTTTGATTTATTAATTTATTTAATTAAATAATTTATTTTTACTGCAGGGATTTTTCCAGTTTTATGCAAATCTAAGCATGATTATATTAGTTTTTTGGGTTTTCGGAGTGAAAATAAAATAAAATATGTGGTATAAAATGTGCCATAACTTTTGTACAGGCCACCTTTTATGTTTTATTTTTTGCCAATATGTTACATTCAGCAAATAAGCAGTAATTGTGCATTATTTCTTTTGTTTTTTCACTTCGAAAAACATGTCATTTTGCCAGGGATGCCCAAATTTTTGCATATGACTAAAAACAGGTTAAGACATCCTCTACAGAGACACACGTCTGCACATTTAATGTACAACTACTGTTTATTTGCTGACTTTAGCATATTGGAGAAAAAAAATGTAAAATGTGGCCTGTGCAAAAGTTATGGGAAATTTAATGATGTATTTTTATTTTATTTATATATTTTTTTTAAACATATTTTTTATTTTCAGTATGTTAAACTCAGCAAATAAACAGAAATTGCGCACAACAGTTTACAGAAAAATGTCATATATTAAAATGTGTTCTCTGTAGAGAATGTGCTTATTTTCAGTTAGAAAATCAACAAAACATGTCATTTGACCAGGGGCGTCCAAACCTTTGCATACCACTGTACATGAGGAATTTTCCACCATCTGTCAAAGCAGTCTGTCAAGGTCATTGGAGAGTTAAGACCAAATTTAAACAGACATTAAAACTGGAATGCTGCTTATTCCATGGCTGGTTCACTTTTATAGTATTATTATTGTTGTTATTATTATTATTATTATTATTATTATTATCATTATTATTATTATTAGTAGTAGTAGTAGTAGTAGTATTAGTGATTAGTGTCATGGTCATTTATCCAAAAAAAAAAAAACCCACGTTTAAATGTCTATGTTTACTGTGTGCTCAGGGTACACAGACTGACACTTTAGGTCAGTTAGTGTTACTGTAACAGGAGAGGTTATTTAGGCAAGTGGGTCAGTTGCAAGAGTCTGAAGGAGAACCTGCTCAGCATAGCGCTTGCAACCTGACACTGGAATGTCACATTATGCATTATGCAATGGAGAAATGAGCTGTTGCTATGTGGCGTCTGAAGCTCGGCCCTGCCCACGTTAAAAGGAAGAAGTCGCCGCTTTGCTTTCTCACACACAACCCTTACAAAGCACTGATGCATTCAGGCGTTCATCAATCTTTAACTTCAGTGTGCAGACTTCTGTGGCAGATGTTAGCGCACTAGTGTGCAGGCATGCTCCTCTTGAGGTCTGACCGCTAGAGATGACCTATGACTTTGTTTTTGAGCTGTCAGTGTGGGAATCAGCTGGTTTGGGTTGTGAATCTAAAGAAAGCGAGTCATAAGAGGGGCTCCGTGTCCTGGCCTGTTAGGTCTGTGGGAGGGGCAGGTTGTCCCATTCCTGCAGAAGCGTACCACACCAAGTTAGGGCTACACGATATAGACAAAGTATCACATTTCACTGATATTACTCCAAGTTACTATTTCTGTATCTTGCTTTATATTAAATGCACATTGGACGTGAGGTTAGACTGCATTATTTACATTTAACAGAGCTGAGTTGAAGTGGAAACCAGAGGAACTCCATGATTAAGGCTGGAAAACATTGTGATGACTATTAAAGGGCCCATATGTTGGAAACCCCATTTTTCCTTTTTGTAGTAAGAGTTTAATGTAGCTTGTAAACATTGTTAACACTCCAAAACATGTTGTTCCATATATTAAGCTGCGAAAACAGCTCATTTTGCGTTCTTTGTTTCTGTGAGGTCATTAAAAGTAACTGATTTACATATATCCATCTATTCAGCCTACGGCAGTGTAGCCCAGCCCATTCACGCTAAAGTGATAGAGATCAGTCTTAAAGGGCCCCGTCCTACATTTGTCTTGCTTTTTTTTTTCCTCCTGAAGTCCACTTGTAACATTAGTGTAGGTTTATGTACCAAAAACAGTCGTAGTTAAAGGGGACCTATTATGCTTTTCTGTTTTTTTTCCCTTTCCTTTAGTGTGTTATGTAGCTTTTTGTACATGTAAACAGTCTGTGAAGTCACAAAGCCCAATGTATATACATAACTCTGTCCCACAGAAACCACTTTTCTCAGCTGCCTGAAACGCTTCAGGATTGGACTCTGGCTCAAACCGATTGCTCACATTAAGCATTTGCAACTGCTTTAGTGTTACAGTACTTGTTTAGGTTATTTGATTACTTTCTAATGATTTAATGCTTTTTCAGTGACGGTACTGGAGCATTCGTTAAGAGTTCAAACCAAAATATAGCCAGACCCGGCTGACCTACAGCACAGAGTTTTGAATCTGGACCCAACTGTATTCAGGCAAAGTTCTGTCCAAATCTGAGAGTATCCTGACAAACATTGATGTTCCACAGTTTTTTCTTCCATAATCCTTGGTAACAATTATTATACTTATTATAATATAGCTTTTATTGGGGGGTTTTAGTTAGGACACATCATCAGATAATACAGTTCACTGAGCAGATAAAATTGCAGACATAAAACACAATTTTGCCTCTAGATGAACCCTAGATGCTAGATGGCATGCTGTACTGAAGCTGAGCTTGTTTAGCCCAGTGATGTGCATGAGGCTTTTTATATGTTAATTGGACTTTCAATTTCAGTTTGTTATTCTTCAGTCTTTTCTGGCATGACCATGCCAGGTTTGACATGAATTGAGAGAAGCAAGAGTCTCAGGAGAAACACTAAGTAGCAGGAAGTACTACACTATGTTAAATGAATGCTATTTTACCCCATTTTAACATGTTTTGTTCATATTTTAGACAGTTCATCCACATTATTAGCATGCGTCTTTAGCCACAGCTAGTGTAGTCTACATCTCTTCTTGATGTCTTCTTGGTAGTGATTGTGGGCATGTGTTTATAACTTGTACTGGCCTTCCAATATACATGACCTTAATACACATGTTCATCCACAACCACAAAACATCTCTACAAGTGCCTGCCTACAGACATGTCTATGTCAACAGCCTAGAGATGAAAAATGATAATATCTAGTTTCTCAAAAGCACCAAGATAGAATGTAATTGTTCCAGCTGATTAGATCACAGTTTTGGTGTCTCGTTATGGATTATGTAGTAGCTTTAAGTGTGAGATACCGGTTACTGGAATGTTTTGAAATGTGAACTGGCCTTGCAGAGACCAGAAGATGCGATGTCCTAAGAGGTTTAGAAGTCAAAGCTAAAAATACACAAACGCTACACCATGTTCTGCAGGTTCCGCCACAACATGCAGAAACTATGTGAAACATTTACTGCTGTTTCTGTCTGAGGTATAGAGCATTTGACGTCTGCCAGAATGTACAAACAGCTACATGCAGATACAGTGGAAGATGAGTCATTTGTCCAGCTGAAAAGTTCGAAAACATTTATCACTTGTACAGCAGTGATGCACCAGTCTGATTAACTGAATCATCTCACCGTCAGTACTTATTGAATGGATTAGGTATTAAAAAATTTGAATTAATAAGCTGCTCATCTGTGCAGTAAGTGTTTGTTAATGTTTAAATAAATGCACATAATATTAATACAGTAATCAGTGATTTTATGTATGTAATCGTGTTCGTTTAACCATTCCAGACTTTTCCTCATGGCAGCCCAGTACTGTAGTTATCATCCAATATCTGGTTTGGTTCATCTAAGCTCCATTAAGTAAATCATGTGTGCTGAAATCGAAAATAAACCTTTGTAAAGGCTTCAGGCATCTCGAATAAATCTTGATTGTAGCTCGTTCGACATCAGCTACCCTTTTTTAAAGCAAGACATGCTTGTTACTTTTTACTGCGTTAATGTTTATTTGCATGTACTTCAGTGACGTTTGGTATTTTTGCTGCTAATAACTGTATTTTTGATAATAACATGAAGATAAATGGTTTCAAATAACGCACTTAGTTGGCTTTTGTGCAGTACTGCAAGTTCAGGAATCTGCAGATTTGCACAAAGACCTTGTTGCATTGTTTTACAGATGTACCCAGGATGGCCCGCAACAAATGATCTTATATGCTGCTCACAGTTCAGTCTTTGGGATATAAAAAGTCTTATCTGATGGCTCTCCTCTGCTTTTCAGTGGGCACTACACGGGAGCACCTGGGTTTGGCCATGGCTCTGAAGGTGCCCATTTTCATTGTGGTCAGCAAGGTGGACCTGTGCACCAAAGCCACGGTGGAGCGCACCGTCCGGCAGCTGGAACGCATCCTCAAGCAGCCGGGCTGCAACAAGGTTCCCCTAGTCGTGGCCAGCACGGACGACGCAGTCACCGCTGCCCAGCAGTTTGCCCAGTCGCCCAGGTACCTCACAGCTCTTAAAACTACCTCAAAGCCTCCTGTCGACAACAATAAACCCAGGTTAGCCATGGCGACCACCAGACGTGCTTTGATTGGGGTGTGCGGAATTGGTTTAACCATTGCATGCCTTGGCTGGTAACAAGTTTCTAGCTGTAATGAAACTAAACCCACATTTAACTTCACTGTGGATGTCAATGCAATGTTCCTTAGGGTTAATTGTCCTGTGTCTCATCTCTTTTTCTCCTTTTGTCATTTTTGGTCTGCTTAGCATCACACCTATCTTCACGTTATCCAGCGTATCAGGGGAGAACCTGGACCTGCTGAAGGTCTTCTTCAACATCCTGCCTCCCCTCAGCAATAGCAAAGAGCAGGAGGAGCTCATGCAGCAACTCACTGAGTTCCAGGTTAATAACAAACAATGCAGTCAAGCCTTCGCTTGCAAATCAGATACAGTTCATGAAATTTGTTTTAATATTGTATTTCACTTGAAAAATAAGGTTGCTGATAAAGAATATTATTTTAACATCTACACAGTTTTTACATTAAAGGGGAATTCCACCAGTTTTTCAGAATTGCTGCATAATTCAAAGGCTGAAATGTAAACAAAGTCATTCAGAGAGGTTTGATGTGAAATGGTTCATTGTAGAGAAACTTGTAGAGGAACCAGAATGCAAATATAGCCAGGTTTATTTGCTATGCAAAATAAGCGATGATTCTACATGCGTCTTGTGAGTTTTAATGTTGATAATGGTAAAATAGTGGTAAATCTGAAAAAAAGCTTCTTGAGAATATTTTGCCCTATAGTGCCCTGCAAATGGATTTAACAAATATGATTTACGCCTAAACATTGTTGTAAAATTATTGTAGAACTGTTTCTGAGGCATCAGGCAGCATATTCATAACAATTCCATATAATAAGTTTTTGTGAGGGAGGCATTAAACTAAACTGTGAATAAATCAATGTGAGTTGATAAGTTTCTCTAGAACAGAGCATTTCAAATCAGACCACTCTGAATGACTTTGTTTAAAGCCATTAAATTATGCAGAAATATTTAAATGGTGGAATTTCCCTTTAAGGGCCACTAGACCTTTCTGACAAACTCGTTGGTTCTGTAGGTTGATGAGATTTACACGGTGCCTGATGTCGGGACAGTGGTTGGTGGAACTCTTTCCAGGTATGACACTCGCAGTCGTGTAAGAGCTGCTTTTCAAATATACACACATCCAAATTCAGCTTACTTGTTTACTTAATTGAGATTTTGAAAAAGGAATGTTAATAAAATAGTGAAATACATTGCGTAATTATTATGGCATAATTGTGTAATTGTTCAGTTTTTGAATGAGCAGGTTAAGCCCCTGTTGTTTATAGTGTCCTCATTTGCTTTGCTGTCTGTGTGCAGTGGAATCTGCCGGGAGGGCGAGCAGCTGGTGGTCGGCCCCACGGATGACGGTCAGTTCCGGGAGCTGACCGTGTGCAGTATCCAGAGAAACCGCTCTGCATGCCGGGTGCTCAGAGCGGGACAGGCAGCTACTCTGGCACTGGGCGATTTCGACCGCTCGTTATTACGAAAGGTGAGTGTGAGTTCCCACATCTCCTTGAAAACCGAGAAATTAACCGAGACTAGTTTACCAGCCATGCACACACCTGAAAATGTTGTTAGTAATCCTGGAACACTGATCTGCATGTTTAATTACATAGAGAGCAATTAGTCTTGTGTAATTGAAATTAATGTGTCAGAATTTGTTGATCTGTTCCAGCTTATCAGAAGTCAGACAAAATAAATATAAGGACATGTCATACAGAAATTTCTTGAAGTATGATATATTTTTGCCATGTCCTGTGTGTGTGTGTGTGTGTGTGCGTGTGTGTGTGTGTGTATATATATATATATATATATATATATATATATATATATATATATATGAAATTTTAGCTCTCCTTTTTAAACATGATGAATTATACTTAAATGGATATGATAAAATTATTTCTTTCATTATATAGGTTTATTTTATTACACATAATAGATATCTACTAATATAAACCTTATAAAATAAAATTGTATTTATATTTTATCATTAAAGGATCGTTAAGGGCTGCTTTATTGACTTTAATGTTAAGGATGTTGACACATGCAAGTCATTCTAATATGACCTTCTGTGATAAACAGTTGTGTGTTAAGGAAAAAATCCTAGACAAGTCCTGGAAAATGATTTCCCGAAAACAGTGGGAATCCTGGTGTGTGTACTAAACAAAGTGTGAACAGCATGGGTGACTGCTTTTTGAAGCTCATGGGTGTTTTGCCTTTGGCTCTGGGCTGCAGGGCATGGTGATGGTGAGCCCAGAGATGAACCCCACGATCTGCTGGCTGTTTGAGGCTGAGATCGTCCTGCTCTTCCACGCCAAAACTTTCCACAAGGGCTTCCAGGTGACCGTGCACGTGGGTAATGTGAGACAGACCGCCACAGTGGAGGCTCTACACGGGAAGGTGAGTTCTTGATTGTGCCGTTGACCAGGGCTGCAACTAACGATTCTTTTTATAATCAAATAATCTACAGGCTGTTATTCAATTAATCGACTAATCAGACCATTCGGTTATTTTTTCCTCTCCCTTTGCCCTGTCACAGCACCACCATTCATTAGAAAGCCCTGTCCCAAACAGCACACTAAGCCCTGAATATCTTCTTCTGTGCCATGTTGGTCAGATAGCTGTAAACAAAACCAGACACTCTGATTGGTCCTCTTAGGGAATTTTGAGTAACTACATGTTCAGTCAGTCACCTTTGTTTAAACTCAGAAATACACTGAGGGAGACTCTCGTTTACAGTGTAACTGAGGACACGTGTACAAATGTAAAGAAAAGAACAGGGTAGGCTGAGTGAAGTGTTTGGGGAGTAAAAGTTAGTGAAGTGACAACAGCATACAGAGATTTACAGTATCCTGTACTGAATTCCAGCTGGCTGTTACACTACAGCTAAAACCAGATTTCCCCAGTTCAGTAAAACTCTTGGCACCTGAAGGACGATCCAGTCAGAGGAACAAGCATTTTTTACTAATGTGTACACGTTCACATCAGAAGACGTCACCGAGTGTGTTTACATGAACTCAGTAATCCGATCATAATCAGATTTCTGCGGTTATCTGATTATTCAAATGGTCATGTAAACTGCATACTCTGATTTCTAAGACTGGAGTAAGGTCTAGAAATCGGATTAAGAAATCTGATAAAGAGAGCTGGATTTTAGCTCAGTAATCAGATTTCTCAGTGCATGTAAACTCTTGCTCTGATTTCTTTTGGATTTCTCAGTCTGAGCATGTGCGAAAACAGACCACAGTACCAGAAATAAGCGAGCAGTGTCGCCGCGAGATGCAGCAAAACACTTCTGGAGCAACGCTGAAACCAAATACATGCTTAACGAAATGGATTTAAATATTCTTCATCTTGTGATGATTTATGTTCATAGTTTCAAGTAAAGTGGCGCGAGTTTTACATTACGTTTACATCACGCCTTCTTTTTTTTTGACTTTATTGGCTGGTTGCAAAGCAGAAATCTGATTACTGTCCGACTCATGTAGACCGGGAGATTTTTTGCAGTTATCGGATTATTATCAATGTTGCTGCCCCTTGTTTTTCTCTTGTGAGTGTGTGCAATGCCGCTCTTGTTGCATGTGGGCGTAACCTGTCCAGCATCTGCTTGTAAGATTGTCTTGCGTTTTTGCCTCAATACTGTTGGGAATAGCAATGTATTGCTGTTTAGAACAGAATGTTCACCAGAGGCTGAAATAAGGGTGCAAAGAGGGCACTCATAAGCACCGCTTTGAACACTACAATGAGAAATGGGACACCCTACAGCCTTGCATATGCAAATGAGGAGTGCAGGACGGCAGATGCTGAAGCCATATCTCAAAGCCGAGGATGTCTCGGTTGTTTTGTCATGAAAGCTGTCCGGTTTTGTAGGATCCTTTCGAATCCGATCTAGAATTGCACCCTTCATTTGTTAGAAATCACTGTGAACTCAAGACTTCAAATCCTCCTTCACAGGCAGCACAAAACTTTAAATAACTTAAAATAAAACAGCGGAAACAGCCATGACTGGTGTGATGCTGTGACGGCAGACTTAGTAACGACATGCTAAACTTTATTTATTATTTTTAAACAGACTTAAACGTGTTGTCTTGCTTAAGTCGGTAAGTGTGTGCGTGAGTGAAGACTGATGAGGAGCCTTCAGATAGCAGTGCTAGCAAGGTCTCTCCTGCCTCATCTGCAGCCTTCGCTTTGAGACACGGCACTTGAGTGCCAAGTGATTTCTTCTCTTAAGGTGCAGTGAAACACCTGAAGCCCAATTGCCCCGGACACTTCCTTAAGTGTGTTACGATCTGTCAGAATGACGGTTTGCATCATATGAGCATTATGGAGGACTTTTTCCCATAATTGACATGTCGACAGCTAATCATTTCAGCACTAGTTAAGTCCACACATGACGTTCTGAACCACCAAGGAGGCTCCTTATTAGCTCCTTATGTGTCACTCAAGTTTGCTCTCTCTGTCTCTCTCTCTCTCTCTCTCTCTCTCTCTCTCTCTCTCTCTCTCTCTCTCTCTTTCTCAGGACGAGCTGCGCACTGGTGAGAAAGCGGTCGTGCGATTCAAGTTCATCAAGCACCCAGAATACCTCAAAGTGGGTGCCAAGCTGCTCTTCAGACACGGAGTAACCAAAGGCATCGGACAGGTCACCAAGCTACAGCCTCTGTCCCAATATCAGCACCACTCCTAGACTCAGTCTCTCTCTCTCAGCTCAGAGGACGCTGCCTAACCCAATACAGCAATCCTTCAGTCACTCTCAGATTCCTCTTTCTTGTAAGCCCACCTCCCTCCCCCCAAAACACTCTTTTATTTTTTTTTATTTTCTTCTCCCCTTCACCAAAGCCTTGCCTCCACCAACCTCAAGCCTTTTTAAAAAACTGTTTCATTTGAAACAACAGTCTGGTTTACAGGCTTTTTATTTTGTAGTCTTGCAGTAGGATCTGGAGGGGAGTTTACGCTTGAACACATTGTTCACCACGTAGACGCAGGTTTTGGTGTTCTTCTGATCTATGTTGGTGTCTCTTAAAGGAGAAGTCCAACTAGACATGGGTAGTTGGCTCAAACCAGCAGTAAAGATGTCCAGGCAGTTGGAACAAAGAGTCCAACCCAGCAGTTAATCTGGCTAACAATGAAGAAAGGTTAACTTTATGTTAACTAGCATTATTCATTGTTTTGTTGTTAGCCCCATTAGCAAATGTTTGGTTGAACTTCCCCTTTAATGACTCCTGATGAACTGCACACACCTATTTGCTGCAATGCAAAATACTACAGCAAATAAGGACAAGATGAGGTGAGATTCTGAACATTTCTTTAAAGGCGTTAATTAGGAAACTGGCGCCCAGCAGATGACTTGAGGATCTTGAGATGAATCTTACGCTTATGCTCACATAATGACAAAACAAATAGACGAGAATGGCAAGACGTTCCTCCAATTAAATGTTTACAAGCTAAAACAATACGGAAGTGTAAAGCGCTGAGCATTTCCACGGCAGCTACAGTGGTGGCAGATCTGTCATCGTACATCAGCCAACTCTGTCAAACTAAATGCTAGCACTGTTAGCCTAAACCCTGAACCTAACAGCAGTCTCTGTGTTAAATGTCTAGCTGACAGCTTGGAAATGTCTTCTGTGATTTTATAAAGAGGCACTGTAATGTTGTGTCTCAGAATACTTAACCTGATCTTTATTTGGCATGTGTATTCAGTGATTGATTACCAGAGACTAATTTCTGTGTTAATTAAAAGATTCGAAGACTTATAAATGCATTTATTATGGATGCATTTGGGCAGCTGCTTCAGTTCCTGCCTGTTGGCTTCTATTGTAGGTCTCAGGAGAATAGATTTTCTCTTCTTTTCGTAAGTGCAGCCAAACCTGTTGACGTTATCATGGTAATTGAACGCTAAATACACATGGTAGATGGATATTAGGTTAAACTTCGAAGGGAAATTCCACTGATTTAAAAAAAAATTCAGTATAAATCAGTCATTTAGATGTAAACAGACTCATTCAGAGGGGTTTGATGTAAAATGGTGCTTTTTAGAGAAGCTTACTGACTGAATATGTTTATAGAATCTTCTACAATAACAGCAATGTTCTTGACCAGTGATTTTTATTCTGTTTTATATGTAATTGTGATAACATTAAGAGCAAAAGTATGTTGTCTTTGAGTGCTATTTTGCCATATGACTCCCTGCATGTGCTCCTCTGTCATGAATGGATTAAAAAAAAGTTTTAGGCCATCTCGAAACTATCATAAAACAATGTCTCAGGCATCATATTCATAATCATTTCATGTAATAACTGTCTGTGAGGGAGCGTTTTAGAGGCATTTAACTCTCCAGACGTCTGGTTCCTATCACCACCACTGTGAACATGTTTCTGTAAACCAGAGCATTTCACACTGAACCACTCTGAATGACTTTGTTTACATCCTAACTTTAAAAATGTACAGAAATGTAGAAATATTGGTGGAATTTCCCTTCCCTTTCTAAGGGGTTGGCTTTGGGCTGTGGTAGCTAAGTGGTGGATATGCTGCTTTGCCATCTTGTGGATGTGTGTGTGCTTTACTGTTTTTGAATATCACTACATCACAGACGTCACCTGCCTTTAAATCACCGTAGAACCAGATATATCATGTGCTCTGGTCGACACTTAAGTGCTTTAGTTGCTCAGGAAATTACACGTGCTCCTAGAAAAGCATTCCACGTCCCTGTTACCCTCCAAAGTAGGAGAAGAACTTGATGTTGCGCTGCTTCAAAGGGTTAAAGCTTGCCTCACAGGTATACGTCGTCTACTGCTCTTCTACTGATTATGCAAAATGGATCGCAGGCCACGGAGAGGCCTTCTTCTGCTGTTGTATCACTGTTCATACTCTCTCATGTTGTTTTCCTTCGTTACTGATACCACGATGTTAAACCGAGGGGCTCTGTCGTAGTGCCTTAGGTCGCCTATCGAAGCCCACGTGATCTCGCAGCTCTCTCAGAACTCGACTTGGTGCTACACCTTTTGATATTTAAGATGACGAGCAGGGGGTTGACACATTAGTTTTCAAACCCCCGAAGCTTCGTCGGCCTTAAGAGCTGTGGCTAGAGCCAGTTCATGCATGTGTAGTTTTACTTACTCAGTACCACGTTAGAGCACGTTAGTCTGTTCCTACTGTGTTATTCTCGTGCAATTTTAGAAGGAAGAAAAAAACCCGAATGTATTTAAACCAAAAAACATTTAAAGAGGAGAAACAGACAGCATCAGTGTTTTTGTTTTACAGATTTGTAGTGGTTTCTAGTTTTATTCAGCCACCTATTTTTGAACTGCACCTCATTTATATCAATATTTGTCACTTTTCTGGCTTCATGTGCTGGAAGTTTTTTTTTTTTTCTGTTATTTTTAAATATTTTAAGATTTTAGACTTTTGGTGAATTTGAGTATTTATGTACAAATCAGTTTGTATATTATGGTGTACATAAATAAAATGTTTATGATCTACTCTGTCGATGTCGTTTGTCTTCAGTTGTCATGAAAAATAAATAAACACTGGAATGTTTTTTGTTTTTGACATGACTAACGCAGGGGAAATGATGAAACGGGCTGCCAGTCCTTGTCATTGAGACCAAAAGCTGATGTAAGTTGCTGCAAGCGCACACAATCGTCAGGTTCCTCATCTGTTCTTACACAATAACAACAATACAGTCATTAATCTCATGCAAATGCCAAAGCATATCTCACATGACATACAGATGGACTTTGAGCGCATCAGCTCACCTGAGAAATGAGCACTCCTTAAATTTGTCACCTCACTGTCATTTCTGTCATTAGATGATTTTATTGTACCTGACTGTTTTCTCTCTGAGCAGGATTTAATTCTTTTATTTTTCGTAAAGCAATAAAGTCAAAGTGTTTAAGAAGGAATGAGCAAAAAGTGTCTACAGGAAATGTAGTTTTGCTAAGTTCTTATCATAGGCTGACAGTCTCTGTGTGGCGAGATCAGTTTTAACACTTGCACAGCTGCAGGTCACAGAGGAAATGACCTGTTTTTCTCACATTCTAAAAGCCCATGCTGAAAGCCATAAAGTTAATTGAAATACATTATAGACATATAAGAAAAGTGGAAAAATCAGATGCAACTTAATAAAACATGTAATATCATTTGCTATTATGTATTATGTATTTCTCTGCTGTCTGAGAAAAACCTCATCTCTCCAAAATGGTAACTTTACAGGAAAAGGAAAATAACCTACTTTACTTTTAATGTAAGTCAATGGAACCAGACTTTTTTTTTCCAAGTCATTTTGGGTCGTTTCTTTTAGTCCATTCATCATAAAATTTACACACAACGTAAAGAGCAACAGGTATTTTCAAACTATGTCAAAAACTGAAAAATGACAAAAATGGAGATACAAGGTTTTCTTCCATTTCTTCCAACAGCAGCGATGTATGTACATTATATATATATATATATATGTGTGTATATATATATATATATAATCCCGCTGCTGTCTGAGAAAAACCTATGCTATTATATATTATAATTATGCTACTTCAGGGGTCCCAAACTTTTTGTGGGACATTGTAATGTCATGGTATTTGGGATTTAAACTGAGTTTATTATATGAGTGTATTATACATATTGTAGTAACATCATTTCGGCCAGACATGATAGTCACCTCTGAAGTGACAAAACAACTGATCATGCTGGAACTCACAGTGCCCTGGGAAGAGCGTATTGAGGAAGCAAATGAGAGGAAACGCGCCAAGTACCAGGAGCTGGTGGAAAAGTGCAAGAACAGAGGCTGGAAGACATACTACGTGCCTATAGAGGTGGGCTGTAGAGGCTTTGCAGGATGCTCACTCTGTAAAGTCCTCAACCAACTGGGCATTACGGGGGTGTCAAAGAGGAGGGCCATTCGATCTGTGAGCCAAGCCGCAGAGAAAGCCACCAGGTGGCTTTGGATCAAGAGGGCTGATTTGTGGGCAGTTGCTGCTGGGACGCAAGTCGGGGCCTGATCAACCCCGGCTGGGTTGCCTGGGCGAGGGTGTCTGATGTTGAGAGACCCGAAACACCCGAGGATCCCAGGATACATCACTGATGATGCGTCCCAGCGCATCTAGAAGATGTATCTTGCACATTGCATCAGATTATTTTTTCTCCCTTTGCCCCGTCACAGCACCACCATTCATTAAAAAGCCTGTGTGGGTGACTGAATATCTCCTGCGCCACGTTGGTCAGATAGCAGATAGATTGTTCTATAATGAATGTTACTATGATTGGCCTCTGTTTTAATTGAAATATCGTGTATCTCTATCATAAAAAACAAATTTTCCTTACTTTTCACAAAAGTTAGATGAAAAAACGTCAAATTTAAATTTGTCATTTGACTCCCAGTCTGGGAGCAACCAGCAGAGCAGCTTTGCCCAACAGCACAAGGTCTACCCAGTCAGTCCTTGGATTTGAACCCACAACCTTCCGGTTGCGGACTCATCTCTCCTACCACGAGCTGCCCGTTTATGCTTAAGTTAAAGGAGTGTTTATTCCTTTACATATAACAGTCTTAAAGGTACAGTAACAAAAACAGCCTGTTTGAATCAGAGAGATAAAGAGAGGTTGGAAAATGGTCATATAAATACACCGATCAGGCATAACGCTATGACCACCTCCTTGTTTCTACGCTCATTGTCCATTTTATCAGCTCCACTTACTATATAGGTGCACTTTGTAGTTCTACAGTTACAGACTGTAGTCCATCTGTTTCTCTGCATACTTTGTTAGCAGAGGACCCCCATGGACCCTCACAGAGCAGGTACTATTTGGTTGGTGGATCATTCTCAGCACTGCAGTAACACTGACGTGGTGGTGGTGTGTTAGTGTGTGTTGTGCTGGTACGAGTGGATCAGACACAGCAGTGCTGCTGGAGTTCTTAAACATTATGTCCACTCACTGTCCACTCTATCAGACACTCCTACCTTGTCAGTCCACCTTGTAGATGTAAAGTCAGAGACGACAGCTCATCTGCTGCTGCACAGTTTGTGTTGGTCATCCTCTAGTCCTTCATCAGTGGTCACAGGACGCTGCCCACAGGACGCTATTGGCTGGATATTTTTGGTTGGTGGACTATTCTCAGTCCAGCAGTGACACTGAGGTGTTTAAAAACTCCAGCAGCACTGCTGTGCTGTGAATTAATCCCCAAAGAAAACATGAAGCATCATCAACATTACATATAAAACCTCAAAAGGTTCACTGGTGGTTTTGGATGGTAAATAAATTGGCTATAGTTGTGTTGTAGTCAGTGTGACCCCTGGTTCCTATCACCACCATTGTAAAGAAATCTGAGTCAGCAAGTTTCTTAAAATTGAACCATTTTATATCAAACCACTCTGAGAGACTTTTACATCTCAACCATTTAATTTTTTAAAAAATTCTAAAAAACAATAATCATTGTAGTTCCCCCCTTTAATGTAACTTTCTAGAAGGCCAAGTCAAACGTCCTTAAGAGCCAACTCAGAGCTGCCACAGTAGAGCTGAAATGCTCTGCCCCCTAGTGGCAGCTCATAAAAATCACAACCCTTACACATTACAAAAACAGGATACATCAACATAATCTTTTAAGAGGCTTCAGTTTAATATCCTCAAGTGTTTTTGCAAATTTGCAGTATTTGTTCAGTGCTTTCAAAGCAATAGCCTATCACATGCCTTCCTCATTTTCCCCAGTCTAAAAAAAGTAATAAAAATATACGACAATATAAAACTGTCTGAGAAAGTGCTTTGGCAGTAATTCTCTCTGTGGCCCTTTTTTTCTTTAAGGTTAAGCCTTTTTGAAGAAGGAATCCAGAGTGGTAACGCCGTCCGCTGCTTTGACTCTCTTTGCCTGTGGTCCAGCCTGGGTTTTGGACCTGCTCTTTCCACGTGAAGACTGGGTTGTTCCAGCCCTGAGGGGGTCGCTGGAGGAGGCAGAGGATGACGAAGGCGACGAGGAGGAGAAGGAGTTCTGCAGATCGAGAGCGAAGTGATAGTCGGTGTGTTCTGGCATTTCCCACATCAACACTTCCTGTCCGCAGCGTTCACAGGTGTGAAAATCCTCTTTGGTGTCTTTAAAACCTGAGCATTCAGGACGGCTTGTATCACCCAGTACAGCTTTCACAGACGAAGAGCACGACCCTCCCGAAGAACCCTGAAGAACCCTGTCAGCCTGAGATCGGTCTGAGTCAGCAGTGCTTTCCTTCACCCAGTCAGACTGTGTGCTACTTGGGTTCTCGTTCTCCACCTCCGTGTTTTTCTCCAAACTCTTCCTCTGGAAGAAAGATGAAATCGCAGCATTAGACCCTCCTGCTGCTTTCTGTGGAGAAGGGCTGGAACCGTTCTCCAAAAGAGAAGCACAGGACGATGATGCAAGGTCATTATGTTCTTCTTTTCTCCAGGTTCCCTCTGCCTTCTTCTTTTCAGCAGCTTTCTGGAAAAGGGTCTGGATGGCCCCTGGCTTCTTAGCTGCTGGTTCTGTTTTGGATGGCGACTGCGTGGAGGCCTGGAGAGACTGTGTTGCTGCCACATCACTGCTGAGGAAACTTTCAATTCCTCCTGATGATGTTTCACTGAACTTGCTGGCAGACAGATGGAGGCAGGTGAGGGCTGGAGACCTGTGAGGACAAATACAGACAATGACATACAAGGTGCATGAGCTGCTGCATTTCAGGCCAGATCTCGGGCATCAAGGATCTACTTTTATTGATGCAAACTATATAGTCGAATGCTAGTACAGTATGAAGCTGAGACACCTCATGGTCCCTATAAAAGGCTGGCGATAGAGACGAGCTCGTTTGCATATGAAAGATCCTACATTACAATTTGATTTTTAATATTTTTTATGACTATTCGAACATCAACTCATCCCAAATTATCATTAATGTAATAATGGAAACCGTCTATAATAATAAAAACAATGGCTTGTGACAGTAGGCAGTCACTGTCACTGGGGAAATTCCTTTCCCAGTACCTAGAGGGCAGTGTCAACCCCTAGTTTTCTGTTTAAGGGGAGAAGAATTAAAGATTAGGAGGGAAACTTAAGTTTGTTTGGCATGCAAGAGCTCCAGAAACATGTTCCTCTGAACCTTGTATGTTCTTTGTATCAACAAGGGTTTTGGTGGTAGTGGATTTGGTCTGAGTGTATCTCCAGACTTATTCCAAATCCTGACTGTCTCTTTGGTATTTAAACTGGACATTTTGGTTCTGTGAGCCAATGACCAACTTTATGTGGCTTTGAGGAACTTTGCTACAGTCATCTGGTATCCTCAGAGCCGGTTTATGAGGAGCCTGGCCACTTCCTATTCCCCCTATTATATCAAAAACAGGACTGCTAAACAGCAGAGGGCGCCCGCGAGTGAGTCCTCAGTGAATGGGAGTGAATGGAGCTTAACGGCTAAAAACGAAAAGTTAAAATAGTTTTTAATCACTGAACCAGAACTTTCCTTTGATTTTAGAGAGTAGAAGGATGGATT